TGTCCATCTGTGTTCTCAGAAAGGATCCAAGGGCCCATGCTTGCACTATCAGAGAGGAACTGATCATTAGTTATGACCTCCTTTTTTTATAAATATTGTGTAATAATCTAAAGTGTGATTCATTTATTCATTCACATTACCCTGTCCTAAATCTATTCTTACAGTTTAATCTGTAAAGATCCCTGCATGTTTAAGGTCCAAAAATTACTATGCTATCAGAAACATTAATGAAATATCCTATGAAAAATTATATCTTATTCCATTATAACATAAGGAACTGTCTTCATAATGTAGCATGTAAACATATGCTCATGATTGATAATGTATTGGTGTGTAGTTTCCAAAGAATGTAGATGTCAGAGCAGTCTCCAGAGAAATGTGAGGTCCCTCTCATATTAGCTCTGTATAAGAGAGACAGTGGTTCAGACTTTTTGTTTGGTTGTACATTTGTGATAGTCTGTCAGATTTTAAATTCTTACAGAAAGAAGTTCATATTTTTCATTGTTTCATCAATTTAAACTCTCTTGACTATATTGACAAAGTAAAGCTGTTGACCGAAAATCAATCATTATAATTGATTTCCCTAATCTGATGAATTTTCAGTCCAGCTACACACTCAGATATTTTGACCAGCAGCACCTGAATGCCCATAAACACACAGACTGTGCCTTTTCATATGCATTATGAAACCCTACAGCAAATCAACATGTGTAGCTCATGAGCCATGGAGGCTGTCATCTGGATGGTGCTTTATTAGAAGAGCACAGTGATGAGAACACGAACTAAATAGTTCCTATTCTAGTCATAGTCTATTCAAAGCTCTGAATCCAAGGAAAATTAACTTGCTGAATGACTTGCTAATTCCTATATGCTTATGTTTAATGCTGAAGACAATATGGGAATTCTTATATATCTGTAGCTAAAACAAATATTTATAAAATTAACAAGAGTGGAAGAAAAAATATTCAGCATTCTCATTTTTCTTCAATCTTACATTATTATTTTTTTATTTGCAAACACCATATCCCATTAATGATCAATTAAGGCAGTTTGTTGGCCTGACCAAGCAAGTCTAATATAGTCTTGGAAATTAGCATATTTTCTCTTCAATGCATGCATGAATATCCTTAGACGGGAATACATCTCTTTTAACAAGATCTCTGCTATAGACACATCAACAGCTACTTAAGTACAATGTTTGGACTCTCCTGCAGAACATAAAAGTACAAGAGTCTAATAGATGGCTTCCTATAGAACCCGAAATCTACTGTCTTCAGAGCATGGCAGAGTTTGCCTGTCCTAGAAATGACAGAGTTTGCCTGTTAGGCAGCAGGTGATTGAAAACAAAAAACAGAATAAACGTATGGACACACTACTTGTAACAAATGCTGTGCATGGTTTACAAATGGATTTTTCATAGACCATGAAATTATATGAAAGCTGCTTCCAAATTGTTTAAAATTATTATTTGGGCTCAGATGCCAGCTCAACAGATTCTATTCTGAAAAAAAAATAATTAGTTTGTATCTTAATTCCTTATTTCTTGGAACAGATAATTGTGATTCAGAATTTTAACTCATGGGTCTACAAAACAAATAAACATAATCTAATTTTTTAAACAACTCTCATATATTGTTATAAAAGAGATAAAGTCCTCTCACATCACCCTACTCCCTTTGTGATTACACCCAATAGCAATGTGTTCATTTAAAAGAATTAGAAGTAGAGGGAACACCAGTAATTATATTATTTATTAAATCAACAGAGATATTTTGAGTGCTTTCATAACAGTGTTGGTATATTATATTGCTGATTTAGAAAGCAATTTCTTAGTATTCTCCAGGGATGATTGCTGGGAAATTGTGATTACCTTATCTATTTTTCTATTTCTACATGTGCATATATATGGGGGGGGGCAGATTTGAGAGAAGAGAACTGTGTTAACATCTTGGGCCCATTCTGCCAACACAGCTATCTGGTTTGCAGAATGTGCTATGTGCCAGGCCTTGGCTTCTCTCTGGGGAGGCAGTGTACAGGCCCAAAGTAGAGAGACTGCAAACAGCAAGTCAGAAACTCAGTTACTTTCATTCAAATGGAAGCAAGTGAAGTAGAGGCCATTTTGGTGTCTATTCAAAGATAACGTGTATCTAGGAGGGTCATTTTCCTGTGATCATGGCTCATTCAATTTTGTTTTTAAATTTAGTATTTAAAATAACACTTAAGCTAATATCACAAATGGGGCATGCAATGAATATTTACCAGAGATCTCTTAGTACATTACTTCACTATTTTATGGATGAATAGTATTTTATAGGTTTCAGAATATGTTAAAGTCGTTTAGAAAGTGTTTTCATTTTCTTTTCCTTAAAGTTAATATGTTTGCTCTGTGCAATTTAACTTCTGTTATCCTCTTCCTAACCTTCATTTCAATTTATTATCTTTATGCATATTCTTGCTTAAGTACTCTTTACCAGAAGTATACTCTAGAAGGAAAATCATGTACACGTTTTTAAAAATCAAATCTCTGTTGTTTCCCCGTATAAACAGGTAGGAGGTAGAATGGGTTAATGACAACAGGCATCCACTGGGGCCTGGATAACTTGCAGTTCAATGTTCTTCTTTTATCTGCACAGCTTTTACAGAATTATTTCAGTGTTACCATTTCTACTCTGGAGCTTACGGTTTTTGTTTTCTAAACGGCATTAAATTTTAAGCACCACTGCAGAGCATTTTTATCTTCTCTTAGCATTTCAAGAAGACTGGAAAGACATTGTTATTTGTGCTTGGCTATTTCTGACTCACTGAGTTAAGAACTGCACTGTCAGAAAAGAGAAAATGCCAAAATAATCTTTTCCCTTGCTTGCTTTTGGAGACTGGAAGCCTAAAGCATTTAAACAAAACAAATACCATTCACTGTGGGGTCCCATTTCCTTCTGCTCAGCAGAGGGATCAGGTTCAAATCCTGCATATTAAATTGGGTTGGATCCCTTAAAACAACAACCCATGGAACCCTTCTATGAACCTCTACAATAGACAACCAGAATCCTTATCTGAGCCTTTACAGTAGGCATCAGAGTGTGACCACATGGAAAGACTGCAGACCTGGGAAAACAGCCATGCCACTCTGGTCTCATGGTTTCCTCAAGTTATCCAAGGAGCTGAGTTGCCTTTTGGAAAAAGAGTTAAGAAAATGTAGAGAATGCACAGAATTTCTGGTAAATTCCTCTTTTACCTCAGGTGGATTAAATAGTTCTTCAGCCACTATGGAGTCTGACTAGTTTCATAATGCTGATCAAACAAAGTTAACAATTTGTCTGATAAAGAAAAACTCTACCTTGGGCCAGTACAGATGTAGCTATTGAAAGGGACTCTGCTGAAGTAAACCATTTTAAAAAATACATTCTCTGTATCCAGGATGCTTTGGACATTCTTATTTTAGTCTTTAGCTGCCAGTAAGATCAACGTACCAAAGAACAGAGCCTCATTTTCTCTCTAGTACATTGTGTATAAAAGGTTCCTTTAAAATGAATCAATTACTTTATAATACTTTCGTTAGTAGCTTGTGTTAAAATACATCTTGGTTGTCTTATAAATGCTATTTACACACATTCCTTTGAACATTTCAGTGATAATCATAACTCACCACCACCTTGATATGAACTTCAATTAGTTTCCCTGTAATGAGAAATGATTGTGCTGATTCTAGCAGACCTTTTTTGTTTGTTTCCCATATATATGTCATATTTTCTGGAATGGCGTAACCTATGTAGTGTGATTTTTCACAAAATCGTATAAGAATATAGTTACAACAGTGCCAACAACTCACCAATACCAATACATTTTTTTTTGACTCCTAGGCATCACCTAAATTTAAAGTCCTTATTGAAAATAATGTATCTTGGGGCTGGAGAGATAGCTCAGTGGTTAAGAAAACTGGCTGCTCTTGACGAGGACATGGGTTTGGATTCTAGCAGCCACGTGAAAGCTAACAACCATCTGTAACTCCGGTCCTAGAAGATCCAATGACCTCTTCTTACCTCTGCAAGCATTGCACACATATGGTGCATTCAGGCAAAATGCTAAAATTTAAAATGCAATAAATTAATGTGTTTCTGGGAAGCACTGTATCTTAAGTTCCCACACATTGACATTTTAAAAATCATTGAGTGACAGTCTTCTATAGAAAAGTTTTCATAGTTTCTGGAAAAGTAGACTCCCAGGGAGAAGTTAACTGTTTGTTCTGGGAGATAGGAATGAAGGGGAAAATTAGAAGGCTAACAAAGGCATTTTGCCTATGCAGAATCTCACCCAGGATCACTTCTAGGCTTCTTGTAATAAATTGAAAAAAAAGTAATGTAACAACATTCAGTGCCAATAAGATGGATGTATGAGTGTGTACGCAGGTACAAACATGATTCTTGTATGTGGCCTTTTATGAATATCAACTGTGCATGCCCTAGTCTGCTTTTCTTCTTTTTGTAATTATAATACATTTATTGGTGTGAATTTTTCAACAAAAACATATCAGAAAAAGCAACCAGGACATTCTCATTTAAAAGTTAAGATAGGGGCTGGAGAGTTGACTCGGTGTTAAGAGCGCTTGCTGGAGTAATTCAGATCTCGGCATCCATGGTTGCGATGGTTGGAAGATCAAAAATGCCTGTAACTCCAGCTCCAAGGCATCTATGGGCACACACATACATGCACACACACACACAACTCACAAATAAATAAATAATAAACACATTAATCAGTTAATGTAAAAAGTTAAGGCCCCCGAGGACCTGCCCCTTCCTGAGAAGCTGTTGGAAGTTGATGGCTTCTGGGAGCTAGATAGTCATTGTCCAAAACTGTAACCTTTGATGAGTTACCTGCCCAGTAGATAACTCCATACCCTGTACCTATGACCGTCAAGCAGCTCTGATTGCACTCAGTGAGTCACAAAACAAAACAAAAACAAATACAAAACAAGATAAAACAAAAAACATGATAGCTTCTACTTCCAGGTCAGAGTTATGACAGTGGCAAATTCAAGCCCTGTCAACACTTTGGTGTTCTTTGGTGTCAGCATTGGCGGTCAGGAAGTGGGCCGCATGAAGATCGAGCTGTGTGCAGACGTTGTGCCTAAGATGGCCGAGAACTTTAGGCAGTTTTGCACTGGAGAATTCAAAGATGGTGATTCAATAGGATACAAAGGGAGAACCTTCCACAGGGTCATAAAGGATTTCATGAATCAGGGTGGAGCTTTTGTTAATGGAGATGGTACCGGAGTCACCAGTATTTACAGGGGGCCATTTGCAGATGAAAACTTTCAACTTAGACACCCAGCTCCGGGCCTGCTTTCCATGGCAAACAGTGGTCCGAGCACAAATGGTTGCCAGTTCTTTATCACATGGTCCAAATGTGATCGGCTGGATGGGAAGCACGTGGTTTTTAATGTTCCCACAGGCCCCAATAATAAACCTAAATTGCCCGTGTGGAGAGATGTAATCCAGACCTTTATTGAATTAGTGCCGCTGACCTAAAAGCCATGCGTGGATGGAGAGTATGGACTTTCCTTTCTTGGTATTTCTGGAACAAAACCTGCAAGAAAGGATTGCTCTTTGTCTTCAAGCTTCCCAGCAAGCCTGCAAACTTAATGAAACAGGCAAGGGCTTTGAGCCAAGCAGACCAAGAGAGCCCACTACTCTTAACTCTGGCTTTAGTCAAGCAATTAAATCTCTCAAACTGTAGTTTGTGCCTTTGCACAGAGATAGCACATAAAGGCCAGCAATGTGGCTCAGCAGGTAATGGCACTTGCCAGCCAAGCATGATTGTCTGAACTCACCACACAAACACGCACAATAAATAGATATAACTTTGAAAATTAGTATATACGGGGTTGGAGAGATGTCTCAACGGTTAAGAGCACTGACTGCTCTTGCAGAAGACTCAGGTTCGATTCCCAGCACCCACATGGCGGCTACAAACCGTCCTTAACTCCAGTTCCAGAGGAATCCGAAGCCTTCTTCTGATCTCTGCGGCACTGCATGACTCGGGTGCACTCACATGCAGGCAATACCCTCATACACATAAAATAAAAATAATAATAATTTTTTTAAAAAAATTGGTATATACGACACAGAGTTTAGATAGGTGAATAATAAGTGAGACAGTGTGCTGTGCCACACATCAGTTATTTTTCTTCTTGATTCTTGTGTAAAAGACATTTTCACTTGGCCCTTTGCATCACAGGATCCAAAGGTCTACTCCTTGAGGAAAAGATGATTAGGAATTGCTAGTATGTCTCACAGCCTGTCCCCTTCCTGTTCCTTTGAGATTTGTCTCTGTCTCCTCACTGACCTGACTGCCATTTTAGGTCTTCGCATTTGGGTGACACTCGTTCTCGAGTCTATAAATTGGACTGGCTCCTATGTTTACATTCTGCTATGGCCATGTTTGGTCAAGAGACCCTGCAAGAGTCACAGATTCACAACTTGTTTCAACTTTGGACTGTAAATAAAAGATTTTTTGTATGCCCAGCACTCGGGAGGCAGAGGCAGGTGGATCTCTGTGAGTTCAAGGCCAGCCTGGTCTACACAGTGAGTTCCAGGACAGCTGGGGCTATAGGGAGACCCTGTCTCAAAAAGACCAAAAAAAACATGATAGTGGGAGGAGGACTTGTTGAGAGCAGGGAAGGTAGGAGTGGGAGGCAAAGAAACAAGGGTGGGGTGAGTATGCCCAGAATGTGTTATATGCATATAGGGAATTATCAAAGAATAAATAATTTTTTTTAAAGTTAATGTCTTAACAATTTCTCAATATTAAAATCTTCATAAAACAAATTTTATTGATTATATAATATGCAATCATATGAATATAAAATAATTTCTTTAGCTATTATTTTGTTATCACTCCAAATCTCACTATACACTCTGAGTGACTACACTTAGGTGTTCCTGTGGATGATTTGTTATTATAAAATCATAAAACATAACTAAGGCAACACCCTTTAGTTTTGGATCTGTTAGATCACTGGAAAAAGCAAATAAGCAAAAACAAACAACAAAACACCCAGGAATGTTGAAGATCCCTGCCAGGTTAGTTGTCAGAAAAACTGTTGTGATATTTTAAAAATTCTACCAATAGTGTATAAAAGTACAAGGTCTCATAATTACAATACCGTTTCCATATTAACAGGAAAGATTTCTCTTATAATTTAAATTTGTAACATTTATTACCTATAGCAGCCAAAATATTTTCTGTCATGCGTAGTTCTTATATGAGTATTTTAATTCTTCAGTCTATTCTTTTTTACATTTTTATTTTCTAATTTATTCTTTTATAATTTCATCACATACGGACATAATGTACACATTCCCACCCATATCCACACACAATAAATACATATAATAAAATAAAAAAATTAAAGAAGTTAAAGAGTATACCAGAAAATGGAAATATCTGTACTCATAGATTGGCAAAGTTAATAGTGTTAATATGTCTATGAATTAATATTCACTTTAACCCCCATCAAAATCCAGTGACATTCTTCATAGAACTAGAAAAAGGACAATCTTAAAATTCTTATGGAACCTCACAAAATATATCAAATAGCCAAAGCAGTCCTTAACAGAAAAGATATTACTGGATACATCACAATGCCTAATATCTAATTGTATTTCTGAGCCATAATAACAAAACCAGCATGGTATTGGCACAAAGAATGGCATGTAAACAGATGGAGTAGAATAGAGGACCTGGAAATAAACCCATATAGTTACAAATAACTAAATTTTGACAAAGATATCAAAAACCATGTATTGGAGAAAATGCAGCCCCTTTGAATGGTGCCGAGAAAACAAAATTTCCACATGTAGAAGACTGATGCTAGATACATATCTCTGACCCTGCACAAAGATCAATTCAAAATGGATCAAAGACTTAAATATAAGACCTAAAAAATTGAAATCACTAGTGGAAAGCTTAGTGATAATACTTCAAGATAAAGGATTTCCTGGACAGGCATCTAGTAGCAGAGGAAATAATCCCAAGAATTGATGAGTAGGATTCCATAAAATTAAAAAGCTTTGGCACCACAAAGGAAACAGTCACAATGAAGGGACAAGCTGTAGAATGGGAAAATTATTAACTAGCTACATGATGGGTGAGAGAATAATGTTAGGGATGTACAAAGAATTTCAAAAGTCAAATATCAAAAAATCAGATCATCCAATCAATAAATTGGTTAATTAATGAAATAGATGGTTTGCAAGCAAAGAAATAAAATGGCCTATAATCACTTTTTAAAAATTGCAAGGTCTTTAGCCATCAAGGAAACACAAATTGAAATTGCTTTGAGATCTCATCTCACCCTAGTCAGAATGACTATTATCAGTCAAACTCATAACAATAAATGCTAGCGAGGGTATGGGAAAAGAGGAAGTTTTAATCAGTGCTAGAGGGAATACAAGCTTAAGGAGCCACTATAGGGATCAATATGGAGGTGCTGTAAAAAATGAAGACTAGAACCAGGATGAGATCCAGCTATACCACTCTGCGTGAAGGACTCCAAGCCAACACACCACTGAAACTGTTGCACATCCAGGTTTATTGCTGCACTATTCACAGTAACCAGGAAATGGCACCAGTGCAGATGGTCATGAACACATGAATGGCTAATGATAATATTGGGCTATCTCTCCCTATATGCTTCCCATCCTGAGCCAGGCTCCAGCTGCCTGCACTCTTCAAATTATCAACAACAGGATCTTCTGCTTTCCACAAGTGTCCCTTTGAGTCTTTCCTTATCCAAGGGCTTATCACAGGCCAAATTGAGGATTCATGACCTGTGGATAATCCAGTTATTTTTTTAATAATAACAAAAGATTGTCTGTCAAGATGGCACCAGAACACTGCTTTTCAATTCACGTAGAGTGACAAAATGTTTTTTTCTCTCTACCAGACTTGTCTGCTGGAGGAATCACTGTCTCAGCAAGCCTGCAATTGAATTTGAAGCATATGAGAACTGTGGGCTTCTTCTAATTTAAAGCATATGAGAACTGCCCAGCCTTCACCTGGCTTAACTTTTGGAAGGAGCTTCTGTTCTCCTCCTCTCCTGCCAGGGAACTGCAAGACTGTGACAGTGGTTGATTTTTCTCTTGGATATTACATCTTTATTTTTCTCTATTCTTTCTTGATATCCTTTCACTTCCATGATGGATTTTCAAGGCTTTTTCACTCTTGGGGGTATAATCTATTTTTTCTTATTCTGATCTCTCCTTCACTGGTTCCTTGGAGTCTATACCTTACCCATTAGTCTTTTAAAATGTATCCTGAGCACATGGAAATTATCATATGAGGGACATTACTACATGTCTAAGAATAAAGGTGAAAAGTTTATTATTGGTTTTCAGCAATAGAAAACTACTTCATAATGAGATATGACATGTAGCTCTTTTGAGTCAAAAGCCTTCACCAAAATACTCAAATTGTCTTGAAATTGTCTACAAGATGGAAATAGTCTTGGATAAAATAGTAAAACACAAGGGATAATGTTTGCCTGATTTTCCTTACAGTTGACTCTGGAGTTTTTATTGCAGTAGTCATCAAGTAGGGTCTACTCAAGCCAGATGTTACTGAATGACATCTGGATGGACTTCTGTATCTTAGATATTTGTGAAGAAGGCAGTGAAATGGTCAGGTCAGGGTAAGTGAGGCCAGACTGTGGGACATGAATAATGAACACTGATTCTTTATATGGTATCTTAAAAGTTATCCCCCAAGATCATTAATTGAAATATATGTGTGGTTGTTATAATAATTTTCACCTTTTCTCTAGCTAGGAAGCTAACAGTGATCTATGGGCATCTGTGTTTTTCAGACTGAATTTTCTTTCCCTATCATAGTCAGGCCTTTTTGACCCTTTCTTCTCATTCATTAGTGCAGTGACCTTTCTTATTTTGTTCTAAAATAATTTTATTTGCTTGGAATAGAATTTTATATTCATTAATTTTTGTAAACTTATTTGTGAAAATATCCTTTGTGCTTATTAAAATGAATTACTATATACAGTCTTTATCCCATGTAATATGCTGAAGATCTTTATATTCTTCTAACATGTTTCAGACATACTCTGGAGTATAATCCACAGAATTTTTCTCATAAATTATTCCACAGACATTATGAGAGGAAATACTGTAAAAATTTAAAGCTAATCTTCATTGAGCTACACACTGGGGCTATATATGGACATTTAAAAAAATTCTTATGTGGATGAATAAAAATTCCTTAATTATAATAATAGACATTTTCTGGTAACAAGATTCAAAAAATTATTTTTAAAATATTCTCTCTCAGGGCTGGAAGATGGCTCAGTGGTTAAGAGCACCACTCTTGCAGAGGACCCAGGTTCAATTCCCAGCACCCACAAGGTGGCTACAAACCATCCTTAACTCCAGTTCCAGTGGTATCTGAAGCCCTCTTCTGATCTCTGCGGCATTTCATGACATGGGTGCACTCACATACATGCAGGCGATACACTCTT